GGACCAAAATCCAGTTAAAACCAATTGGAGCAAAACCAATTAAAACCAGTTGCCAACTGGTTTCAATAGGGAAATTGGAACAACTGGTTCCAATTGAAACCAGTTGCCAACTGGTTCCAATTGAAACCAGTTGAAACCAATTGCCAACTGGATCCAATTGAAACCAGTTGAAACCAATTACCAACTGGTTCCAGTTGCCTAATTGGTTTCAACTGGAACCAGTTGTTCCAATTTCCCTATTGAAACCAGTTGGCTTCAATTGGTTTCAATTGGATCCAATTGAAACTTACAGTTGGCATAAACTTAATTAGTTATAAGTTAATTAGCTCTTGCACTAATTATCGCTCATGACAACACAGAAGCATTGTTATATGTGTCTACATTAAGTACAATGTAAAGGGCATTATAATATGCAGACCATATAATATACTTAACAAGGAAGGCATTGCCATTATATGTTTGTATTTGATGTATTTTGTACATGGTTAGTGTTTTACTAATCGACTTTTAATCTGTGTAATTACAAAAATATGTTACTAACGAACATGCTTATCATTGCTAATTAATCTTTATATTTATCTAAAACAAATGCATTACTTGCAAATGAAAATTAATTAATAAATACATTGTAAATCAAAATAAATTACATAAAACATTGATCTGCACACAAGCAGATAATATGCAAATTAACTGGTTTCAATTGGATCCAGTTGGGTAACTGGAAATATTTCCAATTGGAACCAATTGGGTAACTGGAAATGAATTCTAACTGGAACCAGTTGGGTAACTGGAAATCACTTTTAACTGGAAATGAATGCTAACTGGAACCAGTTGGGTAACTGGAAATGAATTCTAACTGGAACCAGTTGGGTAACTGGAAATGAATGCTAACTGGAACCAGTTGGGTAACTGGAAATGAATTCTAACTGGAACCAGTTGGGTAACTGGAAATAAATTCTCACTGAAACCAGTTGGGTAACTGGAAATGACTTCTAACTGGAACCAGTTGGGTAACTGGAAGTAACTTCTAACTGGAAATGAATGCTAACTGGAACCAGTTGGGTAACTGGAAATGAATTCTAACTGGAACCAATTGGGTAACTGGAAATGACTTCTAACTGGAACCAGTTGGGTAACTGGAAATAACTTCTAACTGGAAATGAATGCTAACTGGAACCAGTTGGGTAACTGGAAATGACTTCTAAGTGGAACCAATTGAGTAACTGGAAAAATTATCTTACTGGTTCCAGTTGCACTTCTTATTGGTTGAACTGGAAATGAGTACCCATAACAATATTTTCCAGTTCGGCAATTGGTTTCAACTGGAAATTTTCTATTCCAATTGAAACCAATTGAAACCAATTGAAACCAGTTGAAACCAATTGAAACCAGTTGGAGATTTCAACTGGTTTCAATTGGATTTTGGTCTTGGGTGGGAAGACATCTGTTGCGCTGATCATGAAATAAGCTAATAAATATCAAATAAAGACTCGACTCGTTTAAATTTTAAATATGAGGTCTACATTTTAATCAAAATTCAAAAAATGGTAAAGATTACAACATCTAAAATATACAAAACAAACACGGGGAAGAAAAAAAACACTTGAGACAGAGGCGGGATCGAACCCGTGCGTGCAAAAAGTGCAAGAGCTGCCGGCGAATCGAACGCAACCGGCGCCTCAGACCGCTCGTCCACTTCCGTTTCTTGCTAAAGCATGAAATTCGTGACGGATAAGTGAGACGTGCGGACGCATCGACGACGTCGACGACGACCGGGACGTCGCACCGGGCCGGGACGTGGCCAATTCCGTAGATTGAAACCCCGTCCGTCCGCGGGACCGCCCGGCGGCGCCCGGGGGCGGGCGGGAGGGGAGATTTGGGCGCCGTAAAATGGACCCCGGATACCCCCCTCGACGCCTTAGCGTATTATTATATGGACTAGCTGTTTGCGCCCGTTAAACGGGCGCTCTTTGCTGTGGCAGCCATTCTGTGTTTGCGTGGCGAGCTTCTTTTCGGTTAATACCTTTAAGAAACGTCAATGAAATATATCAACCGGTTCAATTTAAAAAAAAACTAGAATTTAAATCGTCACGAGGACGATTAAGGTGGTCTGTCTTCAAGTCTTATGATAGATTATAATACTTACTATATTGAGAAAGGGAGAAGTTATATAGACATGTAAACAATGATGATCATCATGATGATCATGATGATGATGATCTTGATAGTAATGGTGATGACGATGTTGATGATGATGATGATGATCATGATGATGTTGATGATGATCATCAACAGACCATGATGACATCTGATTGAAAAAAAATGAGGGAACATTTAGATAGCATATAGTCTCAGCTACAACATACTCCAAAATCAACAAAAACCAAACGGAAATAACGGCGATATTGCTCGCAAAAGACAGGAATGTAGAATCCAGATTTGAGAAAAAGTCATCTCCCATAGGGACTACACTCAAAAAGTAATGGATCAAGTGATAATAGGGGAATAATAAAGTAAACATGGTTGTTTATAACATTATTTGTGATTCTACGTGTTTTAATAAGCAAAGGAAAAGGTACAGTGAAAGGTCAAAAAGAAAAAAAAGTGTAGAAAAAAAAAGTGTAGAAAAAAATTGTTGGAGACGCCCGGACTCGAACCAGGGACCTCGAGGTCGGAAGTCAAGTGCGTTACCGATGTACCAAAATATTTCCCATAGAGATTACACGTAAACGGAAAATGGAATTATCAAATCCCACTTTGTAAGTGAAATATGAGCATGATCCCGGCATCTGATCGAAAATTAAAGGGCACACTAACGATAGCATATTGACTCAGCTACAACATACTCAAAGCTCAGCGTAAACGAAGATAAAACGACGGAGATATTGCTCGCGAAAGACAAGAATGTAGAAACCAGTTTTGAGAAAAAGTCATGTCCCATAGAGAATACACGCAAAATGTGAAAAATTGACATGCCTCCTTTAATCGCAAAAATACGCCATGATGCCATTGTTCAAATGAAATATCGTGGCAAATACATTCGTAGAGAATATTCTCAGCTAAAACATATCAAAATTTGAAAGAAAATTGATCAATATTTACAGAGATACAATCAATTTTCCAAAAATCTGCTAACGTCATAATATGCAAATTGAAATTTTAAGTTCGGAGGCCATTATGATGACGTCATGAGTTAATTGAAGGTCAAATGAGACATGAAATCATATCTCCGACTCATGATCTATCTAAATATGAAAAAAATTGGGGGTATCTATCCATTCTGAAGAGTTAAAATGAATTTTGTATAGGCTTGTTTTTGCACATGTAATGTGGATAGGGATAATGCAGATCCGCGTGTGCTGTAAACTTTGACGGACGCTCATTGCGTTATCACTGGTCAGAAAAAGGTGAACAAGGTATCAAAATGCTTGGAAAAATGTGGTTGATATGATAGAGAAAATTTGGCGTTTCCATGTTGTAAAATGTCAGTACGCGCACTTACGCGCGGAAACGCGCGCAAAAAAGTGCTCTCGCGCAAAATCTTGAAAATGCTTACAATGGCCTGAAACGTGTGCAAAAAAAATTTGGAACGAATTTGAGCATTTTAAAATTTTAATGCGCGCGTACGTGCGCGTCGAGGTGCGTGCGCAAATTTTGTTGACATTTTTAGTTGAACTTTGACCTGAAGTTGATGTATACCAAATATGGTTTATTTTTGAAGACTCGTTATCGAGATATGATAATGACTTGATTTTTACAAAATGGCGCCTGGATGACGTCACGATGACCCCATGAACTTGAAAAAGGTTTCGGGAACTTGATATTATAGGGCCTAATGACTATCAGAAATTTGAAGGAAATTGACCAAGTCGATTTCGAGTAAACGTATACACAAAAAAAGTGTACGGAAGAAATAAAAATAAATAAAGAATAAAGAATAAAGAATAAAGAATAAAGAATAAAGAAAGAAAATTCTAACGAAATCAATAGGTGATCTGTCATCGACAGACCACCTAATTAAAAGCACTTCAAAATGTTTTTCTGATTAAAGAAAGAAATTAACTGTAATAGAAGCAGGACCCGCGGAATACCTAAGGGGGGGGGGGGTAGGGTGTAAATAGATATATAAATTAAAACCACCAAGAACTGTATTTGCAAATTAGAGGAAACCATTAGTTCCTACCCAACTTTATTTGCCATTTTGAGGACACCATAAGTCTAACTTGTTGGTATTCACATTGAAATATCCACGGGATTATAGGGGGTTGGGGGGGGGGCTGTAAAATGTTAATAGATATATCGCTCTCGAAAATAATATTGATTTAAATACAAACAAAATTTAGGTTAATTTTTATATAATTTAATATCCTTTCTTTTCTTTGGAACATTTTTGTCTTCTTTTATTTTCATTTTTATTTCTCTTTCTTGTATATGATTACTTTTTATTTATTATTCCATTTTCTTCTCTTTTTATTTATATTTTATACTTGTTAAGATATAAACCTTTTCTTTGTTGTTTAATGTAGCGTTTTGATTATTTTTTTTTATCTGTACCATGTAATAAAAATTGAAAATTGGAAGAAAAAAGTGAGATCAGATATTTGTAATTAAAATTTGTTGCAGATAATTTATAATTTAATTTCGTTTTCACTTTCGTTATTTATGATTATTGTCTTCAATTGTTCCTATCCATTTTCTCCCTTTCGCTTTCCTATCTCTCTAGTATCTAGCAATACCATTCCATTTCACTCCCATTCTCACATTTCCTTTTTTCACACATTACTAAGTTAATTTAGTTCTACACTGAAAATCATATATTAATTGATGTATTCACATATTTTCCATCTTTTGCTTAATTTCTCTCATTTCTCGGATCACAATGCTGACATGATAGTAGTTATAAATGAAATTGATTTTCAAAGAGTCTATCAATAATTAAAAAAATTACAACATACTTATGTAAACTTGCTCCAAATGAAAACATGAATACAATTTTTTAGTTTGGCTTAACATACTTTATTAAAATAACATGATCCATTTATTAAAGTTTCAATTAGGACTGTACATATCAACCTCCCATGCATGAAACCACATTCATATTTTTTCTGCAAAGTTATCAAGGATCCTCTATATGTGCACTCTCATTGCATTTTATGAGATTGTATCGTCCAGCTAAAAGGGAACATAATGATGACAGAACAAATACCTCAAATCTATTTATTATTTACTAATAATTGATTGAAGTGATTTTGTTGCGCTGTGGAAGACAAATTCATTACTACTAATCATCATTATTATTCATTAAATACATAATAAAAATTAAATATTTTTAAAAATAACCTGCATTGCTCTCACTTTGCTACTTGCACTTCCTTGGGGCGCTGATACTGATAGAGATGGTACATAGGAGGGATTCATCTCAGCCACACATCCATGGGGCGCTGCTACAGGTGGTACATGCGATGGCGCTGATACTGATAGAGATGGTACATGGGAGGGATTCATCTCAGCCACACATCCATGGGGCGCTGCTACAGGTGGTACATGCGATGGGTTCATCATACATTAGTCTGATAAGAGATATATAACAATTTTATTTACAATTGTATTTAAAATTGATTTCCTCATGAAATAAGCTAATAAATATCAAATTAAGACTTGACTGATTTAAATTTATAATATTATATTTTAATAAAAAATATTGATTGATATTCATAAATTTCTGTGTTTGGGTGGTGAGCTTCTTTACGGTCATTTTCTGCGCGTACGCAAGAAAACAACATTCATATTTTTTCTGCAAAGTTATCAAGGATCCTCTATATGTGCACTCTCATTGCATTTTATGAGATTGTATCGTCCAGCTAAAAGGGAACATATTGATGACAGAACAAATACCTCAAATCTATTTATTATTTATTAATAATTGATTGAAGTGATTTTGTTGCGCTGTGGAAGACAAATTCATTACTACTAATCATTATTATTATTCATTAAATACATAATAAAAATTAAATATTTTAAAAAATAACCTGCATTGCTCTCACTTTGCTACTTGCACTTCCTTGGGGCGCTGATACTGATAGAGATGGTACGTAGGAGGGATTCATCTCAGCCACACATCCATGGGGCGCTGCTACAGGTGGTACATGCGATGGGTTCATCATACATTAGTCTGATAAGAGATATATAACAATTTTATTTACAATTGTATTTAAAATTGATTTCATCATGAAATAAGCTAATAAATATCAAATTAAGACTTGACTGATTTAAATTTAAAATATTATATTTTAATAAAAAATATTGATTGATATTCATAAATTTCTGTGTTTGCGTGGTGAGCTTCTTTACGGTCATTTTCTGCGCGTACGCAAGAAAACAACATTCATATTTTTTCTGCAAAGTTATCAAGGATCCTCTATATGTGCACTCTCATTGCATTTTATGAGATTGTATCGTCCAGCTAAAAGGGAACATATTGATGACAGAACAAATACCTCAAATCTATTTATTATTTATTAATAATTGATTGAAGTGATTTTGTTGCGCTGTGGAAGACAAATTCATTACTACTAATCATTATTATTATTCATTAAATACATAATAAAAATTAAATATTTTAAAAAATAACCTGCATTGCTCTCACTTTGCTACTTGCACTTCCTTGGGGCGCTGATACTGATAGAGATGGTACGTAGGAGGGATTCATCTCAGCCACACATCCATGGGGCGCTGCTACAGGTGGTACATGCGATGGGTTCATCATACATTAGTCTGATAAGAGATATATAACAACTTTATTTACAATTGTATTTAAAATTGATTTCATCATGAAATAAGCTAATAAATATCAAATTAAGACTTGACTGATTTAAATTTAAAATATTATATTTTAATAAAAAATATTGATTGATATTCATAAATTTCTGTGTTTGCGTGGTGAGCTTCTTTTCGGTTATTTTCTGCGCGTACGCAAGAAATACAGCTCCGTTATTCATGATTGAGGTATCGTTATTCATGAATGAGGTATCAAGTTGACCGGGATCATTGTCCGAATAACTGTAAGAAATGTCAATGAAATATATCAACCAGTTCAATTTTTAAAAATAAAAATTCACTTCAGCTCAGAAAATACAGCATCTGCTGCAATTACGGCCGGTTTTAAGCCCCAGAGTTCTGGGGAAGAATATTCTAAAGCCTTCAAATTTCATGCATAGACTCTACCTTAAATTTCTGTGACCGCGCAGCAGAGACTCTACGTGCATATGATCAGAATTGCCGAATTCCTTCCGATTATAATAAATAAATCAGTTAATATATAAACCATGTACGTTGACGTAGAAACTGAACCCCCTAACATGCCATACACTGACTCTTATCCATAAATTATGACCATTTAATTTCAAGTAGATCTAGATCTAGTCTATGACAAACTATAACTCATAAGTAGTGCATATTTTTAGATATGGCACAACCCATATTATTATAAACAAAAACATGTTCATTTACCAAGGGTAACCCCTCAGAGAAACATGCAGACACATAATTACATACACGTACGCCTAAATGGTCACCCCTTGGCCTTGCAAACACTCGTGCCAGCGCAACACTCGTGCCAGCGCCAACACCAAGCTGCAGTGCCAGCGCCCCGCTCCGGTCCTGTTGATGACCGAAATCAATCCGTTAATAACATTCTTCTTCTTCTTCTTCTTCTTCTTCTTCAAAATAATCTGCCTCCTTCACTGCTGAAGATTCTTGCTTATTCTGAAATTGAACGTCTGATCATGGCCATACAATGACACAAAAACATCATGAAATAAGCTAATAAATATCAAATAAAGACTTGACTGATTTAAATTCAAAATATTAAACTCTGTTCACTCACTTTGAGGTCACATTAATGGGCAAAATCCAAACGAAAATCGTCGAAACTACTGTGTGTGTGAAGTGAGCATAGAATCATCGCATGATACACGTACACGCATGGCCTACCATAGGAAGATGCCTCACACGGAGTAAGCCCGCTCCATTGTTACTACGTGATGTGCTACATCCACTGACAGAGTAGATTCTCGTCCGCTGTGTGTCTCTTTGTTGATTGCACAGAGGGCGGATGCACGCCTTGCCGACTCGCTCTCGCGGGTTCGTCGCCTCCTTGCAATCCGCGACGCCCGCCGTGCCCTCGTCCGCCCGTCCTCCCCGGGACCCCGAAACCGCCTTTATCGACATCGACGGCGACCACGACCGAAGTTCGAACGGGGACGTGGCCAAATGGGTAGATTAAAACGCCGTCCGTCCGCGGGACCGCCCGGCGGCGACCGGGGGCGGGCGGGAGGGGAGATTTGGGCGCTGTAAAATGGACCCCGGATACCCCCCTCGACGCCTTAGAGTATTATTATATAGACTAGCAGGACCCGCGGAAATCCGCGGGATTCTAGAGGGGGGCGGGGGGTGTAAATAGATATATAGAGAGTGTTTAAATTAAAACCACCAAGAACTTTATTTGCCATTCAGGCCATTAAATAAAATATACATGTTTAGCGTCCCCGCCCGCTTCCTTTTTGGGGGCCGCCTCCTATTTATTTTTTTTTTTGAATTTTTTTTAATTTTTTGTTGTTTTTTTGTTGTTTTTTTTAAAGAAAATAAAACAGTGTCCTGTCCGTTTCCTTTTTGGGGCCGCCTCCTATTTTTTTTTTTTTTTTTTTTTTTTTAATTTTTTTTTTTTTTTTTTTTTTTTTAGTTTTTGAAAGAAAAAAAAACATGAAAAGCACTGCTAAAATTATTTCTGATATTAAAAAAAAAAAAAAAACAATTGTCGGCCGCCATCTTGAAAAAAAGCCCGAATGTCAGGGAAAATGTATGGAGCGGCCATTTTGAAAGAAGAAAAAAAAAAAGGGCCTCCTCATTCCCATTTTTCGAAAAAAACAGGACGCTAAACATGTTTTTTTTTAAATTTGGCCTTATATAAAAATTTAAAAAACGATCCAACTGTACCGGTAGTTATTCTTCAAGCCACTGGAACTGCGTAGAGTTCCGTAGTGTGGCGTACCGACTACGCAGAAATTAGGCTAAGTATTAATGAGAAAATAGTCCCTGCGTAGGTTATGCGTAGGCTGGCGTACAGGTTTGCTTATGGTTGCTTACTGTGTGGAAAGCTTTTACTGCTTTGTCGATCTGGCGTAGGGTAGCATACTGTTGCGTAGGCATAAAGCGTAGTGTTGCGTATGTAAAAAGGCGTACTTTCTACGTCAAGTTTCTACGCCGAAAGTACGCGAAAAAAATTAAACATGTTGAATTGTTTTCGTTCATCTTGCGTACCCAGTTCCGTCCCTCAGCATATAGTAATGTAGGCCAGCGTAGTTGGTACGCAACACTATGCAACTCTCGTATTGACCCCACGCCAATTAGTGACCCGCAAGTGTCACAAATAAAGTATTAAAAATATGCTCATCTGACCCTAATTAAACGCCTAAAACCCCCGAGCTTTCGGGGGTTTATGGACCCTTGAAACCCGTGGACCCCACGCCTATACACTCAACTCGCTGCAATCTGATCTCTCCCCCCCCCCCCCCCCCCCCCACCAACTTTGAAGAACGTAACCCCTGAGCTTTTTGGGGTTTATGGCCCCTTGAAACCCGGGGACCCCACGCCTATATTATATATACACTCAACTCAGGACCCGCGGAAATCGCGGGATTCTAGAGGGGGGCGCAGGCAGAAGATTAAGATTTTCATTTCGGGGGCTCTATTTCAAATTTTTGGAAAAATTTTCGTGCGCTACTTTTTTCAACTTTCGGGGGCTCTTTTTTCTGGGGCTACTTTTTCATTAATTCATCAAAGGATATAGGCCTTCACTTTGTTGAGATTTGTTTAGAAGGCTCAGGTTTCAGGCTACCTACTTCATAATTGCCTATTTAAAAAAAAAAAAAAAATTCTAGTTCAATAACTAAGTTTTCATGCATTGATTTGATGCAAGAACTGTAACATAATAGACCCTAGATTGTGATTATTTCTGACCATGAATTTCGATAATCATTCTTCAAAGTAAAATTTTCACAAGAAAATCAGGTAGTCGTTTAAAAACGTAGACATGAGTAATACTTTTACTAATTCTAAGCTCAGGTTTCGTAAATCTATTCACGAAACTATATTGAAATCGCGGCAACAATGATGCAAACCAACAGATAACAATTTCAAAGTGTCAAATCTCTTCGACTCGAGCTCAGCTCAGCTTAACTCACACACACTACAGCGTAACTCCATAGCTCGAACACCGGCGCCGCAGGCGTCGGACGCCTGCTGTGCTCGGTGCCGGTGTTGGAGCTTCCTGCAAGCTCGTCTCAACTCACACACACTGAACAGAAGCCCTGCACTGTATGAAGGCAGCTTGCGACTAAACTGTCAGTCCAATGGTTTTCTTGTGAAAACTTTCCTTTAGAAAATGATAATAAAAATTTAGTATAGGTCTAGACTATATGGCCGTAGTAATCACAAAATAAGCTTTGATTTCATACCTCCATTCACGAAAACTATATCAAAATCGCGGCAATCATGATGGAAATAGGTCTCTAAGTTTGGACGTGGACGGGATCGAAGCTTCGTGTGTATCTCTGTGGCTACTACAAAGGATATATCCTATAGAAAGATGCTTTACTCGGGTAAGCCCGACCGTGTGCATCGTGCATTTAATACGCAACTTAATGTGAGTTGCTCGTCGTCTGTCGTGTGTCTACGGATGCAATGTTGAATATCCATGAGGTATCTCTGTCGTCACGCATATCCTGCATTATGCATGTCGCGTCTGTTTTCGCCCTGGACGTCGACACGGAGGAGGACCTCGGGCGGAGTATAGCCAATTCGCTAGAGTAGACTCTCCCGCGGACGACGGCACCGGTCACCGGTACCCCGAGGGGAGGGTTCAGGAGGAGATAGCCGCACCAACTTGGGTCGGCGATCTCATTAAAAAACAATAGAATACAAAGGCCGGCGGAGACGTCGCGCCCCCCGCGGAGCCTTAGCGTATTATTATTATAGACTAGCAGGACCCGCGGAAATCCGCGGGATTCTAGAGGGGGGCGGGGGGGGGGGGTGTAAATAGATATATAGAGACTGTCTAAATTAAAACCACCAAGAACTTTATTTGCCATTCAGGCCATTAAAAAAATATACATGTTTAGCGTCCCCGCCCGCTTCCTTTTTGGGGCCACCTCCTATATATATATATTTTTTTTAAACAGCTTCCCCGCCCGTTTCCTTTTTGGGGGCCGCCTTCTATTTTTTTTTTTTTTGAAATTTTTTTGAATTTTTTTTATTTTTTAAAATTTTTTTATAGAAAAAAAACAGCGTCCCCACCCGCTTCCTTTCTGGGGGCCGCCTCTCCTATTTTTTTTTTTTTTTTGAATTTTTTTTTTTTTTTTTTTTTTTTTTTTTTTATTTTTTTTTAAAGAAAAAAAAACATGAAAAGCACTGCTAAAATGTATTTCTGATCTTAAAAAAGAAAAGAAAAAAATTGTCGGCTGCCATCTTGAAAAATAGCCTGAATGTCAGGGAAAATGTACGGAGCAGCCATTTGAAAGAAAAAAAAAAAAAAAAAAAAAAAAGGGCCTCGATCCTCCTTCCCATTTTTCAGAAAAAACAGGACGCTATACATGTTTTTTTTTAAATTTGGCCTTATATAAAAAAAATTAAAAAAACGATCCAACTGTACCGGTAGTTATTCTTTAAGCCACTGGAACTGCGTAGAGTTCCGTAGTGTGGCGTACCGACTACGCAGA